TTTGAGAAAGTTCGATGCTATTTGGGTGATCGTGGATCGGCTAACCAAGTCAGCTCATTTTATTCCAGTGTTGACCACTTATTCTTCTAAGAGGTTGGCTAAGATTTATATCAGAGAGATTGTCTGCCTTCATGGTATTCCAGTATCCATCATTTTAGACAAAGGTACACAGTTCACATCACGGGTTTGGAGAGCCGTACAACAGGAATTGGGTAATAGGGTGGAGCTGAGCACAACCTTTCACCCTCAGACGGACGGGCAGTCCGAGCGCACGATTCAGATTCTTGAGAATATGCTCTGTGCCTGTGTAATGGAGTTCAGAGGGTCATGGGACTAATACTTGCCACTTGTAGAGTTCGCTTACAATAATAGTTACCAGTCCAGCATTCAGATGGCATCGTATGAGGCTTTGTATGGTAGGCGGTGCCAGTCCCCAGTGGGATGGTTTGAGCTGGGCGAGGCTTTGTTGGGTATAGATTTGGTCCAGGATGTCTTGAATAAAGTGAAGGTGATTCAGGAGAGACTTCGCACAGCCCAGTCCAAGCAGAAGAGTTATGCAGACCGTAAGGTTCGTTATTTGGAATTTATGGTTGGTGAGCGAGTCTTGCTTCGGGTATCGCCTATGAAGAGCTTCATGAGGTTCGGGAAGAAGGGCAAGCTAAGGCCGAGGTTCATTGGTCCTTTTGAGATATTGCGGCGAGTTGGGGAGGTTGTTTATGAGCTTGCCTTACCTCCCAGCCTAGCAGGAGTTCACCCGGTATTCCACGTGCCTATGATTCGGAAGTATCACGGTGATCCGACTCATGTATTGGATTTCAACTCAGTCCAGTTGGACAAGGATTTATCTTATGTTGAGGAGCCAGTAGCCATTTTGGACAGGCAGGTCAGAAAGCTCAGGTCAAAGAATATTGCTTCAGTAAAGGTCCAGTGGAGAGGTCAGCCGGTCGAGGAGGCGACTTGGGAGACCCATCAGGATATGCGCAACCAGTACCCTCATCTTTTCACAGTTTCAGGTATGTCTTTATACTCGTTCAGGATAAATGATTGTTTTAAGAGGGGGAGGATGTAACGACCCGGCCAGTCGTTTTGAGAATTAGAGCCCCAATCCCCTAATAACTGTTTTCCCCACGTTTGTTTCCGCTATTGAGAACTTGCCGGAGGGATTGGTTATGGAATTTAGAGAGTTTCGGGACACTTAGTCCATAGTTGTGAGTTTAAGCCTTAGAGTTTGGACCGTAGTCAGAACTGTGTGAAGACGGATCCTAAATGGAATTTTGTCGACCTCGTTAGCTCCGTTGAGTGATTTTGGGGTTAGGAGTGCGTCCGGAATGTGTTTTGGAGGTCTGTAGCATATTTAGGCTTGAATTGGTGAAAGTTAGCTTTTCGGTGATTTCGACCGATAGTGAAAATTTTGATATCAAGTTCGGAATGGAATTCCAAAAGTGGTTGTAGGTTAGTAGTGTCATTTGTGACCTATAAAATTTGAGATCATTCGGACTAGATTTGATGTGGTTCGGCGGCGTTTGTAAAATTTGGAAAATTTTAAATTCTTAGGCTTGAATCCGTGCTTAATTCATGATTTTGGTGTTGTTCGATGTTGTTTGAAGGCCTGACTAAGTTCATATGGTGTTTTAGGATTGGTTGGTATGTTTGGTTGAGGTCCCGGGGGCCTCGGGTGTGTTTCAAATGCTTAACGGAATGAATTTGGACTTAGGAAAATATCTGGTATCTTTGTTGGTTCTAGTGTTTCGCACTTGCAGAAAGGAGGCCGGAGGTACGAGAGTCGCTAGTGTGGAGGAAGTGCGAAGATGCAAAAACTGGTGGGGCTGGTGATGGAGCACAAGTGCGCAAGTTTGACTGCACTTGCGATCCTGCAGGTGCGAAGCGTGGGCGCAGGTGTGGAGCTTGGCTGCCTTAGTAAAATGCGCAGATGCGGTATCTGCAGTTGCAAGATATTGCCCGCAGATGCGGCCCCAGCCCGGATAAGTGACCTTCGCACCTGCGATGATATTTTTCGCAGGTGCGTGATTGCAGATGCGGCCCCATGAGCGCAGGTGCGGAAATCGCTGGGTTGAAGAGACAGCTTCAAGGGTTCATTCCTCATTTTCACCAATTCGATTTAGAGCTCGGTGGTAGACGATTTCTCGAGGGATTTTGAAGGAGAACTACTGGGTAACTAATTCTAACTCTATTTTGATCATAATACATTAATCTATTATTGTTTTCCTCGTCTAATTAAGGAATTTGAGGGTAGAAGTTTGGAAATTGGGGAAAAGGTTCCCCAATTGAAAATTTGACATTTGAATTTGACGTCAGATTTAGATGATTTTTGTTCGAGTGAATGGGTGTTCAAAATTTATAATTTTTACCCGATTTCGAGACGTGGACCCGGGGAGAATTTTTGGGCGTCTTTCCTAATTTCACGCTTTAGCTTCGAATTAATTAGCTAAATTAGTTACTTGTAGTTATATTTACATTATGCAATTAATTTGAATAGATTCAGGACATTTGGAGTAGGATACTCGTGGCAAGAACGTGACATCGAATTGATTCGAGCGGTTCGAGGTAAATGGCTTGCCTAATCTTGTGTTGGGGACTTTCCCTTAGGATGTTTGATATTAATTGATGTGTGGGCGCCGTGTACGGGAGGTGATTATTTTAAAAATCCCGTTTTTCCTTTCTAAATCATAAACTGTTTTTCCTTATTAAATTGCACTAATACGTTTAATTGTTAAATTTAGACCAGAGAAACATGCTTACGTATTTTAACTGCCTATTTGACAGTATAAACTGTATAACTCGATGTCATACCTGCCATTTCATCTTGTGTTGTATATTTAAATTGGGACTACGAACGTATTTCGGGAGATCCCCTTGTCTTGCATATTTATTTTGGGACTACCTGCGTATTCCGGGAGATCCCCCAGCACTGTATATTTACTTTGGGACTACGGACGTATTTCGGGAGATCCTTCAACACTACATATTTACTTTGGGACTATAGACGTATTCCGGGAGATCCTCTTGTACTGCATATTCATTTAAAATTATGGGACGGTATCCCGAGAGATTTTCCCATTGTATTTACCTTGTTCTGAGTCGAAGGCTCCCTTAACTGTTAAATTTTTTAGAATTTCTTTAATTGTGTTACCGTAAACTTTACTTATATCTTTTACTGTTTAATTTATTATATTAACTCCGGTAGGGCCTTGACCTGACCTCGTCACTACTCGACCGAGGTTAGGCTTGGCACTTACTGGGTACCATTGTGGCGTACTCATGCCCTTTCCTGCATATGTTTTCGTGTGTAGATCCAGGTGCGAGCTATCTGCCTCGGGGTTAGTACGTGCTGCTGATTCTAGGAGACTTCAAGGTACTTCTGCTTGCGTCCGCAGATCCTCGGAGTCCCCTTCTACTCCCTCGCTTAGAGATTTTCTTTATTATTTTCAGACTTTTGTATAGAGCTACATAGAGTATAGCAGCTTGTGACTTCGTGATATTTCGGGTCTTGGGAAATTATTTTGTATATGGTGAGTGGTACTACTTTTGGTTATTCACAATATGCTGTTTATCTTTAAAATATTATTTTTTCTTTACTTTTTTTCGTAATATTAGGCTTTCCCAGTCGTAAAGACTAGGTGCCGTCACGACACCTTACAGAGGGTTAATTTAGGTCGTGACAATTACGGTAGCGAAGAAATAATTTCTAACGCCCCAACGCCATAGCACGAGGCTACGCTACAACACACCATATCACAAATCACTTATTAAATTATTTTAGCTTTGTACAAAATAATATATATTTGCGGCTGGTCAATGACTACCGATTCTGCCAAGCGCACGCTCTTCCCAATACATGGACCGGGAAGACAAAACATACTTTCAAAACGGATTTTGAAAAAGCAAGCATCAAATTTTAGAGTCTCACTTACCTCGCTAACGAGAATTTTTCCAACTTTGCGACTTCTAGAACACCAATCAAACGATCTCCAATGGCCTAAATCTATGGGAAATATTAATCAACGATGTCAATTATGCTGGTCAAAGTTATCTCATAATTCTTATACAATAGCTAGCTAATAGTTGACACGCTAACGATTCAACCAATCCCTTAATCACTCACATATGTAAAACTCATTAAACTGAAAAGGTTTCTAACTGCACTTTTATGTTTCTTTATACGTGAGTTGAAAGATTCCAAGTCTAATTACGTAATGTGACTAATTAATTAACACTAAGTGTATATCCATGAATTCTATGTGCACATTATTTGACTCTAATATGCCATGTTATAGAATCTTGTCTATCATAGTAACTTTTCCATTATTAGTCAATAATTACTTAACCACATGTCTCCTAAATTATAATAGCAGAAGCCGAATCTATTTATCAACAAAGGAAATACTTTTCCATAGCATTGCACACCCAAACCTATATTTAATTTAATTCCTCAATCATTACATCATCATTATCAATATAATTGCTTTATTCCAATTTCATTGTATACTACTGTGTGTAAGAATTAAAAATAGACATACCTGGTCACTTGAAATCTTCTCTGTTGAATCAAGTGCTACTGACAGCGGTGTACAGCTAATTATATGTTATAAATTAGTATTGTGATTAGTAAGTAGTTAGTAGGAGTTAGGTGGTTAAGTAGTGAGAATAATATAGAATGTAAATATACTTTCATTCGTTGGTTGAGATATATTAGAAATAGAGCATAACTGCTCATTTGCTCTCATCTGCTTCTTCTTCATCTTAGCTTCCATCACCATAGCTGAGGGATGAATCTAGAGTTCATCATAGTATCAGAGCCTCAGTTAACGATCTATATCACTTGAGTTCAACTCCAGATTCATCTTCCTTAATTGTCACTGTTAATTATTCATTCGAATTGATCAATTGCTTCAATTCCCAAAAGAATTAGGGTTAGATCGATTTTTAGCAATTGGTATCTGTTGAGTACAGCATTTGTGTGAGCTAGATTTATGTTGACAATGGCGATTACTAACGAGGACAATGGATCGACTCACGAAGCTGTAGCTGTAGCACCAGTGATCGATCAGCATCATCCATTGTTTCTGCAACCGAGTGACACTCCAGGCAGTTCTCTCATCTCTGTCAAGCTCATAGGACCTGAGAATTACACTTTGTGGAGTAGTGCTATGGGCGTTAGTCTGCTAGGTAAAAGTAAGCTAGGGTTTGTAAATGGAAGGTATAGAAAAGAAAAGTTTCCTCTTGTTCTTCATGAACTCTGGGAAAAATGTAATGCTATAGTCCTATCGCGGATTATGAACTCTGTGTGTGCTGAATTGCTAAGTGACATGGTCTATGCTTCGAGTGCTGACAAAGTGTGGATGGACCTCAAAGAGACATTTGATAAAGTTAATGGTTCTAGAGTGTTATATCTGCATAAACAAATTGCAACTCTGGCTCAAGGACTGTAATCTATGTCTGCTTACTTCTCAAAATTGAAGGAGTTGAGGGCAGAGTTTGATGCTTTTATGCCCTGCCCTGGGTGTGGTTGTGAAGAGTCGAAGAAATATGTTGAGCACTTTGAGTACCAAAGGCTATTGCAGTTTCTCATGGGTCTAAATGAGACATACTCTCGATCAAGCAATCGGATTTTGAACATGTCTCCTAGACCTTCCATAAACAAAGCTTACTCAATGATTATTTCTGAAGAAAGCAGAAGAGCACTGTCCCAATCCTCTCAAGTTTCTGAAGTTAATGAAGGTACAACCTTGTTCAGTAATAAGGGAACATCATCTGGAGCTCCAGTTCAGCTGAACGCAAAAGGAAACCATGGGCAAAATCACAGCTTCTTGGGAAATGAGGTGACAGCTTTGTTTAGTAGCAAAGGGAATGCAGGTGCTAGTTATGGTCATTCTGGAGGAAAAAATCACTCAGTTTATGGCTACAGGTCCAGAAGAAACAATCTACATTATGACTATTGCAACTTCAAAGGTCACACTAGGGAGACTTGTTACAAACTAAATGGATATCCACAAGATTTTAAGTAAAAAAGGAATGGTGGATTTGGTAATACAGTTAACTATGCATAGACCAATGCTGACAACTATATGTCTGATACTTCCACTGACCCTGTACAAGCAGGCTCTACTGCTAACTTTGCAGGAGTCTCACAAGTGCAACAAGCAAGTCAGAACTTCCAAGCTGGAATCCCTCAATTTACTCAAGAGCAGTACAACCAGATTCTTCAACTTCTAGGCAAGCAACCTGAGTGCAGTGGTTCTGCTATGGCAGTAGGTATGCCATTATGTGGTGATATTACTAAAATTCTAGCTAAATGGATTGTAGATTCAGGGGCTTCAAATCATATGGTGAATGATTCTAGCTTGCCATTCTTAAGGACCTAATAGTGTCTAATGTGATGCATATTCCTAACTTCAAGTATAACTTTCTATCTATGTCCAAGCTCACAAAGGAAATAAGATGGGTTGTTATGTTCTTCCTTGATTTCTTTATTTTTCAAGAACTTTTTAGTGGACAAGTGAGGGGGATTGGTAGAGAGGAAGATGGAATATATGTGTTCAACTCTACTCCAAAAAAGTCAGTAGCACTACAAGCTCAAAGCCAAAGTTCAGTTGGAGATACCTTGAATGTTCCAAGGCCAATAAACACTGTAAATATAATAAAGGCCCCTAATAAAGTTGTGAGTATAGCTTTGTGGCATAAGAGATTGGGTCATGCACCTCTAGATACTTTGCAGAAAATAAATGGTTCTCATGATTTTCATGTTGTTGAATGTAGTAGTAAAGACAAGCATTGTACAGTATGTCCTTGTAACGACCCGACTTATCGTTTTAAGAAATTACGCCTCGTTCAGTGACTTAAGGTCTTGAGCAGCTTTGTATTATGTGAATTGACTTGCGTGCGTGGTTGAATTCAGTTACCGGATGATTCGGGGTGATTTGGGACACTCGGTCCCTAAAATGGAAGCTTAAGTCTTAGGATTTTGACCATAGTTGAGAATGTGTGAAGACGACTCTGGAATGGAGTTTCGTCGGTTCTAGCTCCGTTGGGTAATTTTGGATTTAGGAGCGTGTCTGAAAAATTATTTGGAGGTCCGTAGTGGAATTAAGCTTGAAATGGCAAAAGTCGAATTTTTGGAAAGTTTGACCGGGGGGTTGACTTTTTGATATCGGGGTCGGAATCCGATTCTGGAAATTTGAATAGCTTCGTTATGTCAATTATGACTTGTGTGAAAATTTTGAAGTCATTCCGGAATGATTTGATATGTTTCGGCATAAGACATAATTTTGAAAGTTCAAAGTTCATAGATTTTGATTTGAGGAGTGATTCGTCGTTTTGATATTGTTCGATGTGATTTGAGGCCTCGAGCAGGTCCGTGTTATGTTTTGAAACTTGATGGTATGTTTGGTTGAGGTCCCGGGAGGCTCGGGTGAGTTCCGAGATGGTTTCAGATCATTTCTCCTTGTTTTGTAACTGCTGGAACTGATATCTGGTATTGTTCTTCGCGAATGTGGAGGGTCTCACACGTTCGCGAAGAAGGATTTTGGACGGCTAGGATTTTCCCATCACGAGCGCGACAAAGAATCCGCAAACGTGAAGAAATATATGAGGAAAGCCTACGCGAACGCGGAGAGGAAAGGGAGTTGTGGGCCTGCCTGGCGTTAAGCCTTCGCGAACGCGACTCGTATCTCGCGAATGCGAAGGGCAGAGGTCGGGGGTTTGAGTTCATAACTCAAAATCAAATTTGGAGCTCGGTAGAAGGCGATTTTTGGAGAGATTCTTGCGTGGGTGTTTGGGGTAAGTGATTCTTATCCGGTTTTGATTAATTTCCATGATTATGTCTTTGAATCCATCATTTAATTCGGATTTAACGGAGGAAAAATTAAGATTTTTGTAAAATCTTCCAAAAATAAAAATTTAAGATTTGAAAGTTGAGCTGTTATTGGAATTCGATAAAATTCATATGATTGAACTCGTATCGGAATGGGTGTTCGGATTTCATGAAAATTTTTCTGGGTTCTGAGGGGCGGGTCCCGCGTTCACTTTTGTTGACTTTTTGGAATAAAATTTTACGTCGACGTATTATTATCCCGAATTGCATCCGATGAAATTTAAAGAAGTTATACAATTAATTTGGATAGATTTGAGATGTCCGGAGGTCAATTCAAGCAAGAAGGCTATTTTGGAATATCTGCCTAACTTCAAAGAGGTAAGTGTCTTACTTAACCTCGAGTGGGGGAATTTTTCCTTAGGCACTGAATCTTATGTGCAATTTGTGTAATTGAAAATCATGTACGCGAGGTGACGAGTACGTACTTGTGATGGCCTGGGGGCGTCACAAATCGGGGATTGATTTGTGATGGCCTGGAGGCATTATTATTGTTGCATATTTATTTTGGGACTACGAGGCGGTACCTCGGGAGATCCCTTGTTGAGCACTTACTTCGGGACTATGTTTGCACTTGCCCTTGGTTATTTTATTTTTCCGTAATTTATAAATTTTTATATTTTTCGTGATGTATTATTTGACTTAATATTAAGTGTTTTATATTTCTTGATGTATTGTGTTGACCTTGACTTTTTTGTACGAGACTTTGAGGATTTGTATATTTTGGGTTGTACTTGTCTTTGAACATTGAGTTATTTTAAATAAAAGAAAATTTTCAGTATGTTTAATTTAATAAATTTTATATCCAAATCAGTAGTTTATCTAATGCTTTATTTTAAAGAAAATGTCATTTTTCCTCTCTCAAACTATTTCTAAAATAAACTTATCATTTTGTTGATATCTTACTTGATTTAAATAATTTTAACCTTACTTTATTGAAAATAAATTAATCACGTGGATCTTATATACATTGAGGATATTGGCACGTGAGTTATCCGTGCAGTTGAGATATGAAATGAGGGCACGAGGTGCCGGGAAAATATGATGATTTAATTATGGGCACAAAATACCGTGGAGATATGAAAAATGGGCTGAGACCCGTGTTTATGAAAAATATGACAAAAAGGGCTGAGATCCGTGTTTATGAAAAATATGAAAATGGGCTGAGACCCGTATTTTTTATGATTTTGAAATGAGGTGTTACATGGTGACTTTTTAATTGAAAGAATTATATTCAAAATATTTATTTGGAAGGATTTTTACTTAGAAAGTATTATATGAAAGAATTGTATTTGAAAGATATTTATTTGAGGAAATTTTACTTGAAAAGATTTATTGAAAGAATTATATTCAAAATATTTATTTGGAAGGATTTTTACTTAGAAAGTATTATATGAAAGAATTGTATTTGAAAGATATTTATTTGAGGAAATTTTACTTGAAAAGATTTATTGAAAGAATTATATTTGAAAGAGAATTATTTGGAAGAATTATAAGTGAAAGACATTTATTTGAAGTACTTGATTTATTTGGGTGTAATTGTAATTATTAATAGTTGAGCGATATTAATGGTATTCTTGTTGTCTGTTGTGTATATCACTGGTTGTTTCATGTTGCTCTGTTGTTATTTGTTTCCTATTATTTGGTATATTATATTGCACATGTTATTAGACTTGTGAGTGTCTTGATTGTACCTCGTCTCTACTCCATTGAGGTTAGTCTTGATACTTATTGGGTACCGCTGTGGTGTGCTCACTCTACACTTATGCACATTTTTGTGCAGAGCCAAGTATTGGAGATATCAGACTTGAGCAGAGTTAAAGCGCGATCGTAAAGGTTCAAGGTAGAGTTGCTTGCTCGTCGCAGTCCCTTGGAGTCTTTTCATTTCATTGTACTGTTAATTTGTAATCAAACAGTATTGTATATTCGCTCCTCGTGATCATTCCATGTATTCAGTTAGAGTTCGTGACTCAGTACTACCAGTATTGGGAGGTTGTATATTCATATTTATTCCGCTGTTAGTTTTGGTTACTTATTTAATTAAAAAAATGGCTTCAGAATGTAATAGAAATCGGCTTACCTAGTCTTAGAGACTAGGTTCCATCACGATGCTTGTGGTGGGATTTTGGGTCGTGACAGTCCTTTAGCTAAACAAACAATACTACCTTGCTCTCTTAGTCCTACATTATCCAAATCCTGCTTTCATACAATTCATGCTGATGTTTGGGGTCCTTACAGAGTCCCTACCTATGATGGAAAGAGGTATTTCTTGACCTTGGTGGATGACTGTTCTAGGTATACATGGCTCTTCCTTTTACCTACTAAAGTTGAGGTTGTTGTTGCTCTTAGATCTTTCTTTACTATTTTTAAGAATGTCTACTCAACATTTGTTAAGTTTTTCATATCTGATAATGGGTGTGAGTTCTTCAATTCACATATGTCAGAATTGTTACAATCTCTGGGAATTATACATCAAAGCTCATGCATCTACACTCCACAACAAAATGGAGTTGCTGAAACAAGACACATGTATATTCTGGAAGTTGCTCAAGCACTCAGATT